GGACGCTAAACGAGGTGCTTTGAGAAAGCAAAAATCTGGAGTTTTGCTTTCATTTTCACCTCTTTATAAAAGGTGAAAAGGAAAGGAATATAAAGGGGTGAAATCTGGACCGTAGGATGCAGAAATGGAGGGAAAGTGGATGGCTTGATTTGACCACTTCCGTACGACGTCGTTCTAATAAAGCTTCTCAAGGAAGAAACCGGATGTGCATGATAGCTCACTGGTGAGAGATAGCGTGACAGCTGTTCATTTCATTTATTGTTGCAATAATTACAAAAATTGAAAAATGTGTCAATCACTTCCAAGGCCAGTCCATCACCTAGGTGAGTACTAACCTGGGGGGTAACTGTTGGCATTCGAACTTCGAGATCAATAAATACAGTTTCTTATAGCCGATGAGCTAGTGCTATTGTCAATTTGGTATATTTGAGGTCAGCTCAGATTAAAATATTTATTGAGGCTTAAAGGGACATAATGATTATTGATTTCTGGCACATTGTACAAACAGTAAATCAGTGAGCAGCATATGGGTAATCTTTCATAAGCGTCCACTACACCTACCAATCATATGCTTTAACTTCCTTTCCTAAGCCTCTGTTTGGTATTCATTCTTTTTTTCATTCTCATTCTTCTACTAATTTCCAACCACACATTCATCAATAAAATAATATTTTCCATCACATCAATAACTTTTCCTTCATTTTCAACCACAAAAAAGGTGTGATTTGACACAAAGAATACATTTTTTTCTAGAATAATGGTTACCAAACGGTGCCTAAGTAATTCATTAATTGCTAGGGCTTACCAGTGAGGCCAAATTCATGATGACCTGACAAGCCGACCTCCCTAACCAATCCAAACGTGCCATTGATGTATCTCCTTAGTTCGGTATTGTAGTTGACAAAATGGAGGAAGCAGTACACATGCAGATTTTTTTTCCTATAAAAGGGAGAAAGGAAAAGGGAAAAGGGAGCAACACTTGTGTAACCATGCTTGTAATTCACAGAAAGTGAACCTCAAAATGTTTCAATTTCCCTTTTAAGTTGGCTTGAATGTTGTTTATACAATTTTCGACGTCAACATACATTATGCCCCTGTTTGACGCACATTATTTTTTTCATTCTCATTCTTCTACTCATTTTTAACCACACATTTTTCATTAAAATAATATTTTCCATCAAATCAATGACTTTTCCTTCATTTTCAACCGCATATTAAAAACGAAAGTAAAAGTGGAGAAATGAAAAGGTGAAAAGGAAAGGAATATAAAGGGGTGAAATCTGGACCGTAGGATGCAGAAATGGAGGGAAAGTGGATGGCTTGATTTGACCACTTCCGTACGACGTCGTTCTAATAAAGCTTCTCAAGGAAAAAACCGGATGTGCATGATAGCTCACTGGTGAGAGATAGCGTGACAGCTGTTCATTTCATTTATTGCTGCAATAATTACAAAAATTGAAAAATGTGTCAAATCACTTCCAAGGCCAGTCCATCACCTAGGTGAGTACTAACCTGGGGGGTAACTGTTGGCATTCGAACTTCGAGATCAATAAATACAGTTTCTTATAGCCGATGAGCTGGTGCTATTATCAATTTGGTATATTTGAGGTCAGCTCAGATTAAAATATTTATTGAGGCTTGAAGGGACATAATGATTATTGATTTCTGGCACATTGTACAAACAGTAAATCAGTGAGCAGCATATGGGTGATCTTACATCAGCGCCCACTACACCTACCAATCATATGCTTTAACTTCCTTTCCTAAGTAATTCATTAATTGCTAGGGCTCACCAGTGAGGCCAAATTCATGATGACCTGACAAGCCGACCTCCCTAACCAATCCGAACGTGCCATTGATGTATCTCCTCAGTTCGGTATTGTAGTTGACAAAATGGAGGAAGCAGTACACATGCAGATTTTTTTCCCTATAAAAGGGAGAAAGGAAAAGGGAAAAGGGAGCAACACTTGTGTAACCATACTTGTAATTCACAGAAAGTGAACCTCAAAATGTTTTAATTTCCCTTTTAAGTTGGCTTGAATATTGTTTATACAATTTTCGATGTCAACATATATTATGCCCCTGTTTGACGCACATTATTTTTTTCATTCTCATTCTTCTACTCATTTTTAACCACACATTTTTCATTAAAATAATATTTTCCATCAAATCAATGACTTTTCCTTCATTTTCAACCGCATATTTCCCATCACATCATTTCAAAAAAATGCATTCTCTCATTTTAATGTGCACCAAACAGGCTCTATATAATACTCTTCTTCTCTTTCATCTCCTTTTTCTCCACGTCTTTCTTCTATCTTCTTTTCTTGGACCATGAGCAAGGATCCAAATTATTCACATTTATAGAATCTTCACCAAAAGGTAGGGAATTTGTTGGTTTTTCACAATAATCCCCGCCAAATATGTGGAAACACGCAATCCCAATGAGTCTGTCATATGCACACATTTTCAGCGCGTGTTCAAAATGCCAGACGCATATGGAGTGTACAGGATAATGCAGTCACCCATTTATTTGACTGCATATGCGCGCTTAAACTCCAAAATACACACGCATTTGTATTAAGATCTTCATCGTGTTGCAAAACTTGAAGGTGCATTTTTCATTTTTGTGTTGCTCACCTAATCACAACCGAAGGTCATTTTTCTCTTATTTTTAAATATTAGGGAAAAATATGTATCAAACTCATCCAGCTTTAGATTATAATGATTTTAAAGTTTCTAGTTTTTTATATTCTTACTTCAATTTACTAGAAGTCAATGGAGCAAAATGACTCTTCCATGGCATCTAATTCTATTTCTGAAGAGCGGAAAAAAAAGTTTTGAGAATTTTGAGCAATATGCTTTTTTTACAAAAAAATTAATTAAGAACATGTATACAGTTCAGATAATGCATTATTTTATTTATTTATTAGTTTAGTATATTTAAAATAGAATAATGCTATTTAGCAAGTGGTGTTGAATATCAATCGAATTGTCAGAATATCATACGTCCTATCAAACCTATACTTTAATGTCACTAGTACTACATGTAAACTTGTATTAAATATCAATAGTGCTAAATAGCATTACTCTTTAAAATAACATTAAAAATTTTAAAAAGCATAATTACGCATATGTTTCGCATAGGCACACATAGAAGAACACGGAAACCATACCAGAAATGCTTGATGCACGATTGAGACACATTGCCACTCATTACACATTTTAGAACCTTGAATTTTATAACTGTTTTACAGAAGGACAATTACTTAAATGTGTTTAAAAATGTCAAAGGTATCAACCTGTCAAGTTTTACTACAATTACTTGAAATGCATTTGGATAACATTTCTTTTTGAATTGGTGTGGAAGCTGTTTAATTAGTTAGTAGATTACCAGTTGGTTTCACAGTTATAACAGCTATATGTTGAGAGTTAGTTGAGGGCTAACTGTTATGATAAATCAACAGGCACGTGGTTGGCTCTGATTGTATAAATAGGGTCTTTATATCATGTATAGAGCAGAGCGAAAGTTACAAGAAAGCACAGGGAAAACTCGTAGCTGTGTAGAGAGCTCATTGAAATTAAGAGAGACTTTGAGAGTGTAACTTCTGCAGCTCTGCTCATATACTTGGTGGATTTGACTGGGACTTTGTCCTGTTCTTGAATATATCAAATCTTGATCTGATTCCTGTAAATTTCTGGTATGGTTTCTGTGTTCTTTCTTTCAATTCTGTACCAGTTCTTGTTTGTGTGTGTCAATCTTTAACAATTGGTTACAGCTTCGACTATTTAATTTCTGCAGCCCGCCAACTAGTTGAATATGGGTATATTTTAGTTAAGAGTGTAGTAGATATACCATACAATTGCAATCCCAAAGGCTTTCCACTCCAACAGGTGTCCGATGTAACGAGCAGTGTTTTGGAAAGTTTTCCCCTTTGCCCTGTTTCTTCTGATTCTTTTGAGATGTTTTTGTTTCTAAATCGATGTGAAAAGCCACGGTCCATTGGGTGTGTATTTTTGAAGATGTGCTGTGTGCATGTAAAATTTATAAATATATATTGGTAATTCTTCTATGGAAAACAAGAAGAATTAACAAATTTTGTTTTTGATATTCTCTTCTTTCCTTCATATACTTTGCAATTATTTCCAGATTACTAAACTTGCTTTTATTGCATCATTAATCATTCTGTAGAGATACAATACAAACATTCTCGAATATCAAGTTTATTCGTTGTGTTCAAGGTTATCTTTGTTTGTGCACAACGCAGCATGTGGTTCCATTGTATCCTTAAGACGAATTTTTTCTAGTACATCACATCATAGAAGAGCTAAATAACGTCTTAAGAAAAACAACGTTGTAATGTGCCTAGATACGATTTTAATTTTTCAAGATTTGAGTAAAGGTTTCTCGAACTTCAAAATTCATCATATCTATCTTCATTTTCAAGTATGTCATTCCCTTCTCAAAAATATTCACCAACGGAGAATGAGAGAAGAAAAAACATTTTGATTTCAAGAAATCAAAGGTTACTTCTATTAAATGAAGTTGCAAAGAATCAAAGAAAAATTGCAAAATACAAATCGGGTAAAATATGAACTTTAAAATCTCTTTGAGTTGCCACTGAACTTTATCGAACATTTCCCAATTACCACTTAACTTTAAAAGCTCTATGAATTACTACTAAACTTGCTAATATGTTATCAAGTCTACTACTCCGTCACACGTCGTTCTATAAGTTAACGGACTAGTGTTCGTGTCAGTTTCAACTCACGGAATTCATTAGTCTCTAACGGGGGCATATACTCACGATTTGAAGTATAAAAATTACTTACAAGTAGAGGGACATACGAAGTTTGTAACTATATTATTAAAGGTGGATTGGACAGTTTTGATTACTATTGAAAAAAGGAAAAATAGGTTAAATTTTTTATCTTATGTTGGTTGGATTGGACACCATCATTGGAATTAACACTAATGTTATACGTGTTGCAATGTCCATTCAAAAATTAACTCGATCCTGAATAAAAGCTAAGAAGATTAAAAGAAAAGGTAAAAGCATGACTAATTTAGATATTGTGGCCACTCTCTCCCCCATTGAGGATCCCGTATCGATGCTTTCAGCTGCCAATACCTCCACAGGAAATATACATGAACCAGTTGATGGATTATCCGGCACCACCTTCCCCAACCCGTCGAATTCGCACGGATCGTCCTTCTCCTTCTGGGATTTAGTTTGGAAAAACCTATTGAATGCATAGGAAACATTTTGATTGAAATCCAGGTGGCTGCAGGACCCCCCAGGTGACAGGCTAGTGCAATCTCCTACCATACAGGCTTGTTCAAATGCGTATTTCACTTTGGTTAAATTACTAGTATCACCATTGAAAATGCACCATCGCTTAGGCATGTACGTAACGCCTTTGGCAGCGGTCGGATAAATATCACGGCCCTGTCCTGACAGATCAATCTTGAATTTAGGCTCCCCGTCGTTTCTGTATATGCCCCAATGACGCTGGAAAGCTCCGAATTTAATTTTCATCTTGTTCTCGTCGCTCAAACTGTGGATATAAATGTCGATAGGCATCCCCGGGCGCAGTGGAGTCCCTTTGTTGCTTGTGACTCTAGGCAGGAGGCTTTTGAAAAACCGCTCGGCATTGGTAACATTAGCATCAGGATATCCATCTGTTGGCCAACCGATTTGTCCGACCACCAGTTTCAGATCAGGGGCGCCAGCTTTCTTCATTGCCCACAGGAAAGAATCATACATGAAATCGAATGCATTCGTGTAAATTAACCCATTGTCATCCTCAAAAAAAAATGTCGAATGTCCATCAACGAATGCGAATTCTATGTCCACATTATTCTGCTTAACAAATTGAATGGGGAACATGTCAACCACGAAGGGAGAATGGTTTTCTTGGAGAATTTGTAGGGATTCGATCATTTTTTCCTTTATGTCATCGCGAAATTCAGCCTCTGAAGGTTTAGTATGGTTCGGCTTCAAGACATCGGTATGATGTGGAATGGTTGCTTTAGTTTTCTCTCCGTAGCCAATCTCATTCAGAGCGTCTTGGATAAATCTCAACACATCAACAGCATCGAAATAGGTTTGATTCCAAGAGGATGATGAAAATGGATCTGCCCCGACATTCACATACCTGTACAACATGAAGGGGAAAAACATAAAAAGGAAACCATGATCAGGAAATTAACTAAAGAAAAATAATCAAACAGGGAATTCTTGTTTAACTTGGACATAACACGTACTTTACATCGACATTCATGTTTACAAACTTAGTAACCTTTGTTCGAATCCAATATCTGGCTAAATCCGTCGAGTTAATGTCGTGGAGAGACTCGTTAGGGATCGCAATTGTTAGGCCAATTCCGCTCCCAGAAAAGGCTTTCATGACATTTTCGCTGGCGCTGAAAACTTTAACTTCACGAATTCCATTCTGTAAAAACAAATCTACCACCATGGATGGAATTAGTCTTTGATTTGCCATCCTACCCCAATTTAGGCCTATAGAACCCCCCTCTACAACGTTGTCTGAAAACAACAACATGCAATAGGCCAATGTCATAATGCTTAAAGCCATCGAGGATAGCGAATTTTGTTTCCTGAAAATGGAGTTTTTCGATGGGAAAAAGGGTTTTCTGAAAATCCGAGGATTAATGAGACTCAGAGGTGATTTATCAAAGGTTTTTGTTTGATTTTCTGATGGGGAATGATAAGTACATATGATTTTCATCCATTTCTATTTTTGGCACGTAATTCCCTCTTTGACTAAACTAAGACCGTTATGTGCCAAAAGCATGATGTCCATTCAACATCGATCTGCCGATAAGTAAACTTATAATTAAAACAAGGACAATTCCATTGAACATAAATGGATGACGGAGGTTGATAACCTCTTACATGCATGCAGGCTCTACGTGATTAAAAAATTTCAAAAAAAAAAAAAAAGTGGGCCCCTCATTCTACATTGTCATCCATTTCGGTACATGTAGCGTGGTGGTTGAAATAATTCTGTTGGATATTAGTTCATTATTTTAGTGGTGAGCTGCCTCGATTTCATTGCTGCCGTGATTTTTCTTTTTCTTTTGGAATTTATCCTGGATTTTAACGGTATCAAATAATATTATGCCCTGTTTGGCCTCAATTTTTAAAATTTTATTTTTTTTCGAACTTATTTTTAACTACACATTTTATATGATCCACAATTTTTATCAACTTTTCAACAACATATTTCATCAGCTTTCATCAACCTCCATTTGGTTTTGTTAAAAATCAGATTTTTAATAGATTTTAATAAAATTTGATGAAATTATAGTTTAAAAGTTGATAAAAATGATGAAATGCTAGAGCATGCTTTTGAAGTTCGAATCGCGATGACATTTTAAAGATGGCTACCTGGTAGTAGAAAACAGCCCATGAACTTTCCATTTCTACATTTTTGTCCTTTAACCCAACTTTTTGACTTTATTCAATTGAGTTCCCAAATAAATCATAAATTTTCAATTGGATCCGTCACAAAATTATTTAAATCCCAATCTAATCTTTCCTCTACTTTTTATTTAAATAAATTCTTAAAATGAAGTGAATTTGCGAGGCATTATAGTGGTGGTCGACGGTGGTGGTATGGTGGTGGCCGGTGGGTATTGTTTTTAGGTTTGGGTGGCATTCTCATTTGGGTAGTAGCACTTCAATTTTTATTTTTTTAATTTTTAGTGATTTTTAGAAAATTGTTCATAATTTTTAGGGGTTGTAATAAAGTTGTGGGGATTGAAAATGTGATTATTGAAACTTTTGGGAAAAGGGTTATTGCGAAAATTACTCTGAGAATTTAAAATGCAAATATGAGATCTGCCGTGATTGCAACCAAACCCCTATAGAAAACTACATATAGGGGTGAAGGGTTGTTCATTTTCAAAATTTTGAATTTTCTCAGAAGCAAACTGTTCGACTGGAAAGCTTCCGTTTATTATTTTAGATGAGCAAAAACAGTAAAAATAATCAAGATACAGTACTAAACACATGAACATATAAAACGGTGCAAATATTGACTTTTAAGATTGGGGGTCGAGCTAGTTGAGGGTGTCAACACTCAAGAGTAGGGATATCGACACCCTACTTTATTGAAAATGTGTAATTGAAAAGAAGACAGAAAAAATGCATTTTTGAAATAATGGAGCGCAAACAAGGACTCACTGTTGTTGTTAATTACATAAAATATAATATTATTGCTAAATATCTTTATACAATGGGAGTACTCAGAATGTGATGTTATCAATGCATTTGAATTTTCTTCAGAATATTGTCATGTGTCATCGTGACTCTACCTGATGCGCGAGATGTACTTTAGGTGCACGTGTATGGCATATGTGTGAACCTCAAAGAAATGGTCACCCATAACTTATAAAAGAAGAGATATCGAAATTAAAAGAGAGAAATTGCGAATGCTCAAATATTATGTTAGGAAAGAGATGACAACATTGAATATAAAAGGATTCGGATAAATATACCTATTGCTGTTCTGATGTTCACTCAAGTAGACAAAGACAAGATGTCTTAATTATATGTTGAAGATAAGAATGCGCTGGAAAAAAAATTGAGGACATTAATGCAACAATATCAAAGATTGAAAAATTAAAATGGGGTATAATGAACAAAAATTGTGTATCTCCTGCAACCACAGTGCAATATTCGAGCAAGCGTGATCTAGTAATACTAGATCTGGTCTTTTTTTTCTTTGAATAGATCATGACCCTACTTTGAGTAAATCTGGATTGGTCGATGCAACCAATGTCTTGCACAAACTTCGGCAATTGAGCTGGATTTTGGAAATGTTGGGATTTGCTCAGGATTCTGGTTGCAGTTTAATTGAGAAATGAATCTATTGTTCTGTGGATCTTATGCTCACTATTGATGAATTGCATAGTGTCGAAGTTGAGACATGTTGAAAGAACTTTGAAAATGCTGATTACATTTTTGGTCATTCAACAAGATAATTTTAGAACTTCTCACACAAGTGGTATATTGGTTCTATCACTAATAAATCAATGAATCAAGCATTTAAACTATTTGAACTGATTGCAAAGACACCTTCAATGTTCTGTTTAGTCCAGAAGAAAGTAGCAGGTATACATGAGAAAGTCCGCCATTAATTCATACACTACGATGTTAATGTTGCAAGTAGAACTATTGTTAAAACCACAAGCACAGTGTGAATGTGGGTGTTCATGTTGGAGCCTTCGTGTTTATAGCTTAAGAACCAGAATCTGTCGTGGAGAAAAAATTTGAGGGCCTGATCGATAGAGGTAACTAACATTGCAAATTATTGATCCATTTTCGAGAAATTTCACAAGTAAATGATTAGGAAAATAGTTAACTTCATCCATATATACGTATATGATCTTCAGATGCAGTGCTTGCACGTATAGTGACTGAGAGAAGGTTTTCGTTAATCAAAGCATGGGGAGAAGGAGAAAAATCAAAAGCTGGAAACAAGTATGCCTAAATTTATCCATGAAATTAGCTAGTAGTGCTCTAAATTTTTTTACCAAATGTTATGACTTGTGATCAATGATTTTTGGTAAATGAGCTCAAGACAAAGAAATGTTTTGGTAAATGAGCTGAAGACTCATTTCATGCTGAAAGAACTCAGATGCCGTGATAAGACTTGAAAATGACTTACATTTCGATTTTATTGGTTAGCCTAGGTGCCTACTATCCCACAATGCCCAAATTTGTTAGTCAACCCCAAATTTACGAAGAAATAAGGATTAGTTTGTTCATTGTTGTTGAATAACGTTAAGATTGAAATCTGTTTTATATCTTTGCTTCTTGCTGGATGAGCATACAATGGCCACAAAATCTATACATGCATGCTACAAGAGTATGTTTGGTTTGCAGGTTATTAAATATACGCTAAAATTATTTCCAGATCTCTGAAAAAGATATCTTCCATTGGGGTTTGGGAAAACAGCAAAAAAAAAAAAAAAATGCCTAGAAATTGAGCTTTAAAAAATTGAGGTAATAAGTCACCCCCCTGGGATTTTCTTCTGCCATGAATTCTAATGATGAAAATGTTCTTTTTTTTTTTTGAGAAAGTGACTTTTGAGGAATATGTGAGCTATTAACTATAATATTAATGTTTTTCTCTAACATTTCTTTTATTTTGTAGGAACGATATGTGACAATCGAATTATTTGTTTTTGAATTTTGGATGATTGTAGTATTTTTATTTTATTTATTAAGTTAAGATTACTGTATATTTTAAATTTTTGGATGATTGTAATATTTTATTTTTATTTTTCGTGCTCAATGGATTTTTTATTGTGTTTGATTTTATAAGCAATGCCTTTCTGGTTAATTGAGGTGCCTTATTTTCGTTAGTAAGATTTTAATTTGTACGAAAATAATTCTTTGGGATGTGAATCTTTAATTTCTTCAGTGAAAAAATTCCACTTATAAACTCAGTCTTAATAAAAAATTGTGATTTATTCAATTTTAATTGATTGTTTATGAATGATAAATATCATTTCATTGAAAATTTGAATTATAAATCCATTCTTAGTAAAAAAAAAAAAAATTGTGATTTATTTGATTTTAATTGATTGTGTATGAATGATAAAAATCATTTCAATGAAAATTTGTTTATTGAAATGGAAAAGTATTATTTTTATTTCAGCCAATTAAAGTTTGATTTGAAAGATGAAAATATTTTTGTGCCAAAAAAAAAAATCAAAGAAAAGAGGAAGATTGGCTCGAATCAGCCCGATCCGATCCGACCCGATTCGGTTCGGGTAGGGTCGGTTCTAGCCAAAGTCCGGTTCGGGTCGGTTTCAAAAATATGTCATAACCGACATTTCGGGCTGGGTTGGATTTGGTCCAAAATTGAACCGGTCCTACCCGTTGCCCAATTCTATCTAGAATCATATGACATGGACCCCCTACGCAGCACCACGCCATGAGCTACGTATTACATAAGTGCACTAATAGTTGTATCATAAACAAGCATGGTTGTAATTCTCTTCTCGAAGTATTATTTGATGACAAATTAAAAGATTGCTGGCCATGTAAGGGGATGGCTGCCCCTATGCCCTAGCACTAAGGCGCCGAAACCCCTAGGGTCGCATATCAATCTCGATAAAATTCTTTTAATTGATATTAAGAACACGTGAAGTTGCTTAAATTCAGCTTTTAGTCAAAATTAATAGATTGAAAATTCAAACTTTGAGTAAACTATTCAATGAAAAGGCCTCACCCGTCATTCAATTGGCAGAGTAAATGTTCCCCCTCTGTTTTTGTTTCCATTTCTACCTTGATTTGTTGGTTCGAAAATTTAAAATAGCCCCAATAACATGAATAAGGGTTTCTTCATCTATTGCACAATGTGGTGGGAAAGCATTTCTACCAGACCAGACTTGTGGCACAAGTGATAAATATTTTAAGAGACTTTATTGAATTCGGGAACCACAAACAATGCCAAAAAAAGCTATTTTGTCACGGATTCAGACAGGGGTTAAACATACGATAACATGTTTGAAACTTCAGATTGGACAACAAACATTAATGTTATACATTTTCTGATAT